TATTTTTAATATTTAATTTTTAAAAAATTAAAAAAAAACAATTATTTTATAACATAAGAAATAGTGTTGAACCCACCGTCACGCCCCTTGAACGATAGGCTAATCTGGTTTTAGGATCTGCGGCTTCACATAATAATTTTATTTCACTTTGTTAAAAAGCACAAGTTAATAGCTTTAAAAAAAAAAAAAACAACTTAACAAATTTTTAAGGGCAATGAACAAAGTTTTCTGTATTTTAATTAATAAATTTTATATCATTATTACAATTAATTTAAAAATAAATAAAATTTTATCACTGTAACTTAAAGTGGTGCGATTCTTTTTTTGAACATGAAAGAAGGTTGGGAAATAGGGTTAATTAAGCTACCATGGTAACTGTTTGGGCAGCTTCGCAATCTAACACTGTTGAAATCCTCAGCTGCTTTTACACCTGTAAATCTCGAGGATGTTTTTTCGGAAAAAACACTCCAACGCTCAAGTCAGCAATACTCAATATTTTAGAGAGAGAAACTCGCAAGGAGTAATTGAGCGTAGAGATTAATTACCTTCATCGGAGGTAGTTGGGGGTATTTATAGCCCCTTGGTGCTGACATACATCTGCACGTGTGAGCATCCCATTTGCCCACGTGGTGCTGGTCACATGGGTATGCTTGTACTGATACTCCTTCAACTTGGACTATTAAGTGGTAACCTAGGTCCGTTATGCACAGCCCTGTTTGGGTGTTGGGCCTATTTTAACAGTAACAAATAAAATTCTAACAAATGTGAAGGGTTTAATAAACCTGAACCAAAACAGTAATAACTGCAGGTGTTAAGTGGTGCGATTCTATTTAAAAAGTTAATTATAATATTAATCTCAAATTTAAAGATATAAACTACAAAAAATTTTGAGCAGCGCTCGGAACACTTGCTCTACAGCATCCTCTCCCCTGTTTTGCCACGTCACCTAGGAAATTAAGACATTAACCGGAACCGGCAATTGCAAGTGAATTGCTACAAGACAAAACTATTAAACAAGCTATAAAAATATGTAACGTTGTGCCCATTTTTAAGAGTGAAGGGGAAAAGAAAGAAATGCAAAATCTTGAAGTCCTCTGTATTTCTTTGCCACCGCCATGACCGATCTCTTCTGTATCAACTGGTGATCTGGTAAAATTTCCTATACTTTCCTCTTTCCTTTCAAAATACACAACTAGTCACTGCCATGGACAAAGAGAATACTGGATACCTAGAATTAGCAAATAAGGAAGAAGTAGAAAGTCTATATGGATCACCACTGCTACAATTAGTAGAGGGTGCATGGAGGCCTATGGTCTCCTGAAGGAGATGAAAAGCATATCAAGTAAACATCACTGAATATGCCATAGAAGTTGGAGTACGTATTGCCTCCAACAAAGCTAAACACTTATAACACTTTTTTTTTATCAGCAGATATTTTAAAAATTTTTTAATTTGTGTCTTTAAGTATTATTAATTATAAGATTTATAATTAATTTTATATAAAATTTAAATAAAATAAAATATAAAATATAAAAATAAAATAAAATATTTATATTTAAAATATATAAAATATTATAAACTTAATATAAAAATTTATATAAAATTAATTTAAAATATTTTAATTAATAAATCTTAATCTCTCTCCTTAAAAAAAAAACTAAACAAACCCAATACTTTAACAATTTTTTCTATTTTTTTTCTCATATCTTTTCTACAAATCATTAAATACTTTGAAATTCCCCTCCTATTTTACGATTAATGCTTTTCTGTTTTCCTCCTTACCAATTTAATTATCACACACAAAAAATGATCTTAAGAATTCCATCCCTCCTCTCTCTATTGTTGAAAGTTGAAACTTGAAGGAAAGTGGGAAATTGAGAAGGAAAGTGATTGGCAAAAGAAAGAAAGAAAGAAAGAAAGAAAGAAAGAAAGAGACCAAGGATCTGACCATCCAATCACCAACGAAACAGATTCGAAGATCGACTCCGGTCCCACGCGGGAAAGAAGGGAATGACAAAGAGTAAAGTAAGGATTAGATGGTAAATAACTGTTTTCGGGACCCATATCTCTGCGTAACGTTTTGCAAGCAGGGGCAGCATGACGAAGCGACTGGTGAAAAGGCGACTTGCCTTAGCATTTCTCAAAAGAAAATGTTTAGGGTTAATAGTCTTGAAATAAAATAACACTTCTAGGGGTAACGCCCACATTGAGCACCGTGATCAAATATATAAAATAGATAAAATGCTTTTCAAAGCAACTTATAAAAGAATATCTTTAAATTATTTAAATATTTTTATTTTTATTCTATTAAAAATTTATTTAACTTATATTTTAAAAATATAAATTAAAAATATATTAGATATATTTTTTATAAATTTAT